TATTTTTAAACCTCCATACATGTGCAGAAAGATTAAGGAATCAGTGGAAAACTCAATAAGTACATGTATATAAGTAATAAAGTTCATACTTGTAACGTAACTAAGACACAATCCATCTGTTACCTAGATACTATCTCTTAACACATCCCTATATTTACTGCCAGCTTTTAATTTTAACGGTCAATCGTTGAAGTTGCCTGATGAGTGTGGTCCTACAATTTCGGACCATTCGAAACAGCACTGTCGCAATAAACGATCAATGATTACTTCTGAAGCCTGAACTCCTGTGATTATTAATAAGTAATATATTATTATATAGGCCAGTTTGCCAGCTGTGGCCGCACTAAAAGTACTTATGGAAGCTTATGCTTATAGTTATTCAATGCCCATTTTACGTTTCTATTATTCATAGTTGACTTTATTCTTGCCTCTACGTGTCCGTCCCGAGAAAATATGGGAAGGGGAGGGGGAAGCGGGTTGCATTTGTCAGTTAGATTATCAGAAAAGTTAATTTGAGTTTATTGTGCGGACGTTTTCAGTCCTGCTCAAATCCTTGTCAGAATGGAGGAGACTGTCGTAATAATGGCGATGGAAAATACGACTGTTCTTGCAAGAGTCCATACACGGGAGAAAACTGCCAGGAAAGTCAGTATGAAATATGAATACGTCAGGTGTTTTGTATCTTCAGTACCCGGCTCGGTCCTGGCTTATAATCTGTTCGCGCTATAAGTTTGTTCGCTAAAGTATATTTATTTACTTAAGAAGGTGTGGCCCCTTACAACTAATTGTAACGGATCTTCCGAAATCACGAATTTAAGTTCGCTATTGATCGCCACGTTTTGAGTACAAGTTTGCCTCTAGTCTGACCTGTTTAGTCAGATGATTGAATTGTCCGTCGAGGAATGTAATTTTGGGAATATATTTTTGCCAGAGCTGGATCCTTGCTCCTCTAATCCTTGTCAAAATGGCGGATTCTGTCGTGATAATGGAAACGGAACATTTGGCTGTTCATGCAAGGGTCCTTATACGGGCTTCAATTGTCAGGAAGGTTAGTTTTTCTTGCTCCACCGGTCTCTTTTTGTAAAGCCTTAACGCCTTAATTACAATTTATAATTAATATTTAATAACTATTTCAATAAGGCCTGTAAAAGCATTATGGGACAAATATGTTTGATTTTACAGGGAGTGGTAGTGGGGCAATGGCTACTACAGATCACATATTGTCAGTCTTTACTAACTAGTCCCGGCAACGAGAAACAATGCATACTCCCTTTACCCCTTTCTTTTTTTTTAAGACAGAAAAAGAAGGGTTAAAGAGAGAGGGGTCAGAGAGACACTTTCTCTGCTATTGCCAAAAGTATTCTTTAAACTTAGAAATCAATTTTTTGCTCCAATGAAAAGTTATCTGCATAATTTTTAGCAGCTCTTTTACTCGGACCTGGTAATTAAACTGATGAACTGCGAAGATATTTGTCTTAATTGAGGATTGACGAAAATATCTCAATACTTAACAATTTGCGTGACAGTGTACTGTCATGTAAGAATAATGTCACTCGATTATCTGTTATTACAATCAAATTATCATTCCTTTTTCTTTTCATTCTTATTTCACGTATCTTTTGCAATACTCTAAATAATTACAGTCATGCAAGTTAAGGTTAATGTTGTTTTTGCTGTTGTTTTCTGTCATTTAACCATGCATGGAGACTGATCTAAAATTCAAAGAAATGACTATACAGCAAATTTTTTAAAAACAATACTGCTTAGCAAGATTTAATGTTGCTGATTTGGGCCTATTTTCAGTCATAAAGCCTTGCTTGTCCAACCCTTGTCAAAATGGAGGGAGCTGCAATGACAACAGTGATGGGACTTACATCTGTACGTGCCAGAATGGATTCATTGGAGACATGTGCCAGAAACGTTAGTATCAAGGCTTTTAATATGTAACATAAATCACACTCATGTATTAATAAATTCAATCGAACGCTCAGTTCCGGCCATCTCTTTCAACGATTTTAAACATGCATATAATGAACAAAAACAAACAAGCTAACAAAAATCAGGAACGGTCACGCGGTTGAAAGTGATTGCTTTTGTCGACTTTTTTCTTTTCCATCCATCTGGCCGGTATCACTACTAAAATACATTGTGTCTGTTTGTTGAATTAAGGAGTTTAGTCGTAATAATGGGTTTGTTGAAGTTGTACAGTGAGGTAATGACTGGACAAGAAGAGCCACATACTGCCCTTTTAAGGCCTTAGGCGCTATCGTCTAATTCACAATTTGTATTAAAATTAGGCCTACTGGTCGTATTGCGGGTGTTCCCATGCGTACGATACTGATCAATTAAAGAATATCTGAAGCATTTTCGTGTGTAGTTATGTAATTGTTTCTGTATAATATTCATCCCCTTAGAAGCCCAGGAGATGAAGATATGAAATTATCCGCTAGCCATTATTTGTTACAACAACCTGTGGACTTTGTCTCATTTATTCAAGGATAAGAATGGCTTTCAGAACATCAGAAAAACAACCAGAAGATCTTCATGTTAAGGAAGAAGTTATTATAAATTCCAAGTTTCAATACAAGCTATTTTTTTTTTAATTATTAGGGAACTGCCGCTCGCAACCATGTGAAAATGGAGGAACATGTGTGGAGTTAGGCGATACGACAATTTGTCAATGCTCCTCTGGATTCACTGGAAGTATTTGCCAAGGAAGTGAGTGCGTAAATCCTTTTTATCCTATTCCAGAGGAATGAACCTACTTTTACTTACGCCCTTGAGACCTAATTACAGGTTTCAGTGACAATGGTACTTCTATGAATACAAAACCTTGCTTTTTTACCGTATATGTCATTATGTACACAACTCAGATTATTGATTTGAAGGGACAATTGCATTCAAGGGAATGTCAAGGGACTCAAGCTAGGCCCTGCCCAGCCACGTCAAATTATACAGAGCTTAAGGGATAGTAAAAGAGTTAGATAGAGCGGTTTTCACTTGACTGTCGAAAGTAATTGGTTTTGGTTTGGGTTTTGGTTTTACTACGCCCTTTGGTTGGCTAGTGTATTTACTTTGGTTTTGGTTTTACGACAGTCCAGTGAAAACCGCTCTATTTAGCAATTAATGAATGAGGCTGAGTATCTTATGAAGAATTATGGACATCGGGGAGGGTGTTATCCGTAGAGGCCGTAGGCCGAGGCGGGTAACACCCTCTGAGATCTCCATAATTCTTCATATGATACGAAAGCCAAACTCAATAATTGTTATATTGTTCATTCAAAATAATTCCTATTTAAAAAACATAGCTAAAACCTGCTTACCTCCATCGATCCATCGATGTTAAGTTCATCTTCGATAGTGCACGTTTAGTGTTGTTCAGCTCCGCAAATATTCTCCAAATAGCAGATGTCGCCCTTCGAGTTGTCTTCTTGCTGTTCCTGCCATGTTTTTACTATTATTTCGCCTAGTTCTAACTCTTGAAACGAGTCGAGTAAAATGTGCGCCATTTTTGTTTCCACAACCAAAACAACTCAACCTCGTCCCCAGGTCTTCTCGGTTAACAGTGCATTAACCTGTAGAAGGCTACATTTTTGACGTTATTTCCTCGTTAAACACAAAATTCTTCCAAATTTGGTCATCAGTAACTGGTTATGGTGAATTATGCGTGTGCGTTTAGCCAATCAGAATTGGGGAAATATTTTGAATGAATAATAAGGCTATTTAATGATAAGTAAAGATATCTGACAGCTTCCTTCTCTGTGTAATGACAACCCATTCGTCCGCCGAAACACAATAGAACTAGAAAAGGGGTTTTAAGACAGTTCCTCCTTGTTGACTTGTGTTAGAACAGTTTGATTTTCCGATTTATCTTTGAATTCGAATTTAAGGGAAACTGAATTTTTGCTAGTATGGAATTCTTTCTGAATTCATCAATAACTGAACAATGACTATTATAATAGCCTCTATCCTTTTTGTTGTGATTACTGGGAATACTTTAAAATTCTTGCGGTCATATTATGTCCCCAGTCATATAAGGTTGTTTTGCTCATCATCTTGTTTTATGTTACAGTCGACTCCCGATAACTTGAACCTTCAAGGGAAATCGAAAAAGGTTCGAGTTGGTGGGAGTTCGAGTTATCGGGAGTTCGAAGCAAATAACCGGAAATAAGAATGGGATGGGAAATGAATGCAAGTAACAGGCACACTTCAAAACTTCATAAATACACAGTACTGGACATTGCACTTAAACTGGAAAACAAAAAAGTAAAGAGAAAGAATACATGGTTGTTAAAATAATTTCAATGTTTCGGATTTCAGTACACTTTTTTCGACTTGTCAAGCGCTTAAACCCTGGTTCGAGTTATTGAGGTTTAATTAACACAGAAATGATCTGACGGGAAACATAGATTACTTCGAGCTAGCGGGAGGTTCGAGTCATCGAGGGTTCGAGTTACCGAGGGTAAAATTATAGTGAATGAATGAAGGAAATCCAGGGGAAATCGATTTTGGTTGCGCTAGGGTTCGAGTTATCGGGGGTGGCCTGTAGTTTATTCTATTTATGGTATTGTATATTGCTGTTTAGTCCATCTACTAGAACCTCGTATTGTAAATATGTCTTTCCTTCCCCCGCCTCTATTAGTTCCCAGGCTATTTGCTGGTCGGAAAATTATTTCATTAGTTTTTATGTTGAATTTCACTAAATTTGTTGTTTGTTGTTCGTCTAGCTGAAGGCATTTAGTGAAGTAAAAAATGACTAGCTTTGCATGCTCTTCCTTCCGTCTACTGAAGTTAGCTTGTTTTCATTGAACTGAACTCCATCGATGTAAAATCTAGCCCCTCGATCGTTCACTGCCGAATCATATCCGATATTTAAACGTTTTACTTTAGACTGCAGAGGACCTTAGTAAGGTTATGAGGCTTGGTAATATTTTGTTTTAACAATTTGTAGGCTGATTTTAATTAGTGTTGCTTGTCGGTGATGTCTTTTAATTTCCTCAGAGACTCCATTTATTACTCGGGATCCTAGAGATGCAATACGTATGGAAGGTGGAAAGGTTACGTTTTG